CCACACACAGGCGGCAAGCACGGTGCCCAGCCTGCCCTGTGGGCGGTGCCACACGCAGGTGGCCCTCGGGGACCTCCATGTCTCACGGGCTTCTTTGTCACCGAGGCCGAGGCAGGCCAGAAGTGCCTTTGGCAGGAAACAGTATCTTCGTGAAACTGAGAAGCATTGTCTTGTTTGCATGGTAACCTTCTACTCACGGCTAGCATACGTGTTTTCCACTGGGGTGGGGGGAAGAGAGGGGGAAATGTTTCTTTTTAAAGTAAATGTACCAGCCTGAGGGTTTGCTTTTTGTGCCTTGCTCTTAACTTCATTGTTGGGAATCTGAGGCCCTTGGTGGGCATGGCTAGAAAGGAGGCTCCCAGCGGGCCGTGGGCCCCACCTGCTCTCTGGATCGCATGCATGCTGGACGCTGCCCGCCTGCCCGCACTGCCCGGTGTGTGTCCCTGTGGGCTCCGGCGTCTCCTTGCAGGACTCTCGTTTGACCCCACGCAGTGGCTTCATGTCGGCAATCCCTTTCCCTGCCGTGTGTGTGCTGCCCCCGGCCTTCAGCTGGTGCGGGGGGTGGGGGGGTCTGGCTGGTTGTGACCAACGGGGCGGCCCTTAGCGAGCCTTCTGCCTCCCACTGCCCGTCAGTCTCGGGGCCAGCTGTCTGAGCTGGGTGGCTTTGGGGAAATGTGAAGGGAGTGGTCGGCTGAGAGGGAGCTGGAGCTGGCGCTGGCGCTGCAGGAGCCCCTGAGGAGGGTGCGGCGTGGACCGGGCGGCCTGGGCCCTGGGGGCAGGGAGGCTGGCGAGGTGGAGGACTGGGGTCCTCACCAGTCCTTGCAGAAGGGGCCTTGTGCGCACCATGGACACACAGACACACAGATCAAGGAGCGGGGTCCCATCTGAGCTCCCTGACTGCACAGGGCCCCGGGAGTCTGGATCCAGGGTCAAAACCTTTAGGCCTCTCAGCATGGAGAGCAGCTTTTCCCCTTTGCCCAAGAGGAAGCTGGGGAGTGGCCGATCCGTGGCCACAGAGGTCAGGTTAGGTTAGATGCTGAGGACTTCCCTGCTAGGCTGGAAAACCATGTTGCACGGTGCTGTGAGCAAAGTTTTTTGGAGCAGAATCACTCAAGCTCAGTGCCTGGCTCCGCCTTCTCTGATCCGCATCACCTTGGCCCGTCTGCCGACCTCCCTTCACCTTCCTGGCTTCAGGAGACAGAGGGTGGTGGCCTCAGGACGATGGTCCATCACACCTAGAGTGCCCAGCACCCCGGCTGTGTCTTCAGGCTGATGGTCACCCCGGCCTGGGGGGCTGCAAAAACTGCCACACCCAGAAAACCCAGACCCGCAGCGGGGTGGCCCACACGCTCAGCCCTGCCAGCTCCCCGCCCCTTTGGTTCTTTTAGTGTTGACAAACCCCAGGAGAGGCAGAGAGCGGTGTGGGCCCTCCTTGGCCTGTGCACCTTGGCAGTGCAGAAAGGCTGTGGGCCCGAGCCCAGACCCTTGGTCCGAGGCTGCTCTGTCCTCGCGCTGTGAACGGATGCTAAGTCACTTGGTCTCTCTGAGCCTCCATTTCTGCATCTCTGACAGAGACCTTAGGCTAGGGCCTCAGTGCTGTGTTGTGTGGCTTCCCTGGGTGCAAGGTCTGGACCTGAACCCAAGGGTCAGTGGTGCTCTCCGCATGCAGGGGGCCCAGGACGGCTGCTGTCCCGCTGGCTGACCGTGGATGTCTGTTCCCACCTCCTCTGGCTGAGCCAGGCCGCCCACCGCGGGCGCTCAGTGCTGGAGTCCGCATAGGGCTGCCGTCTGGGAAAGATGCTCAGGGGCTGCTGCCCTCGGGTCCCAGCAGATCTGCCTGAGGCCGGCTGATGGGCAGGGCCCGGATGGCGGGCAGACTCTGGCCCTTAGCCACCCTGCCCCCTCCCACATCCATCCTCCCCCCACATCCACGTCTACCCGCCAGGGCCCATTCCCGGTTGGGGCCTCAGTGTCCCCTGTCGGCAAAGCAGGAGGCAGAGGGAGCTAGTGAGAGAGCGTGTCCACCCGCCTGGCTTCCCTGCGGGGAGGGTGGGAGGGAGGCCGCCCCGGGGCTGCACGGGGGAATCGGCTTAGAGCAGTTGGGGCCACGGGGTCCCAGCCGGCCTGCTGCTCGCAGGGCTCTGGTGGTAGTCCTCGAGTGTGCGCAGTGTGGATGGTGGGTGCGGTAGAGGCAGAGGGGAACGCAGGAGCAGGCGGGGAGGGCTGCGTCAGACAGGCCCGGAGGCCGGACGAAGGCTGCAGGTGCTGACCGCCGTCCGGCTGGGCCTCCGCCCCCTCTAGTGCGCAGTCTCCGCCTGTGTGCTTCCCGGAGGCCAAGGGCACTGCACGAATGGAGCCTCTTCCTGGCCAGCGGCGGTGACCTTGTCCCCCGGGGCCGTGTCAGTCAGAGTGCTGAGGTGGGGAGTCAGTGTTCTGAGCACAGTGCACGCCGCACACCTGCCCACCTCACACGGCCCGCACACCATGCACCACCCGCACACCGCACACCACACACCACACACCACCCGCACACCACCCACACACCGCACACCACCCACACACCACACACTACCCGCACACCACACACCGCCTCACACGGCCCGCACACACGCACCCCCTGTACACCGCACACCACCCACACACCACACATCACCCATACACCACACACCACACGCCACACACCACCCGTACACCGCCCACCGCCCACCGCTTGCTCCCCACCTTGCGCTGTGGCCCCCGTGTCCTGGGGTAGGGACGGTTCTGGCCGAGCCCCTCTTTAGGCCGCAGCTGGTCAGTCGAGCCCACCCCCCATCCCAGCTGCCCAGGGTCGATGACAGAGGCCGCCCGCATCCGCAGGCCAGCTCTGGACTCTCCTGCCAAGATGGTGGGGCTTCTTGCTGCCACTTTGCAGAGGGGCGCACGGAGGCTCAGGGTAGCCCTGCAGGCGCTGTGTAGAGAGGGGTCTGAGGCAGATGGGAGCCGGCCTGTCACCCAGGACAGGCCACCGTGAGGTGGCAAAGGCTGTGGTGGGGGCCACAGGCCCGGAGCTCGCGCCCACAGCTCGGGGTCACACGCGGCTCGGCCGCAGAGAACTTGTGTTTGCCTGAGAATCTGCATCCCAGCATTGGGAGACCTGGGGAGAATGCCACCACCCTCCCCCTTGGGGCCACCCCGGGGCGTGTGCTGTGACAGCCCCGGCAGGGGCGGGGGGGTCGGGGTTCTGCCCTGCTGGCCGGCAGGCCTGGGAGATGGGGGCTGGACCCACCATTCTGTGGCACCCCTGAGTCCTCTGTGTCCCCCTCCCCCCGGCCGCCCCCACCGCTCCCGCCTGAGAACCTCATGAGGCCAGGGGAACCCGGGAGGCCACGGCTCGCCTGCGGCTCCGTTTCCCAGCTGTGAAGTGGGGCAAACGGGATGCTATTGGAAAGTCGAAAAAACCGCAAGGAGGGGCAAAGGGAGCCCCGGGCCTCAGGAGCCTCTGACCAGGGAGGTTTCTGTCCAGCCTTACCTGGAGAGGCTGTCCCCTGTCTGAGACACCTCTGGGGTCAAAGAGTCACTTGCCCTCTCTACCCGAGCTTGCCCTGAGCCGTGTCGGCGTGCGACGGGTGCGAGGTGATGGCGTCCCTGGTGCCGGCCTGAGGCGGAGTGTCCGCTGCAGAGGGGAGGCCCGGGAGACATGGGGATGCCAGCCTGATGCCCGGCATGGGCGGCACAGGGCAGCGAGCTGGACACCAACGCTGACAGGGAGGCCAGGAGGTGCTGCGAAGGGGGGGGGGAGGAGGACGCAGCGGGAGGCCAGGCAGGCGCACGCGCCAAGAGCTCCCGGGCTGGCCGGTGGGTTCCTGGGGGCCGCGTGTCCTCAGTGGGTGGGGCCTTTGTAGAGAGCCATCCTGTGTGGAGGGCCAAGTCCTGTCCCCACGTCTGACAGAGCAGTGGGGACCAGTCTGGGATCTGCAGTGGATCCCATTAGCACAGGCGGAACTGGGACCTGGGGACCAGATGAGGTGTGACAATATGCAGGTGACACTCGGGTGAGCCAGGTTTCCGGTGGTGCAGGCGTTCTCTGGGGCCACCGGGCCAGCACGGTGCCCGGGCCCAGCCGGATGCCGGGCTCAGGCACCTGGCCTTCGAGGGCCATGAGGGGGAGCATTGACCTGCCCCCTGAGTCACTGTCCCTGGAGACCCTGCGGGGGAAGCCCCAGCTGCCGGCCCTGGGCTGGGCCTGGGCGCAGCTGTGCTGTGGGCGGGGCTCCAGCTGGGCCCCGGGGCAGCCTGGCCGGAGGCTGTGCGGAGGCTGTGCGGGAGGCTGCGCGAGCCTGTCTGGAGAAGGGCGGGCAGGTGCTCCCCTTCAACACTGGTCCTTAGGTCTAGTGCCCAGGCTGAGTGAGCTTTAGTGCCTCCGTTTCCACCTGTGGGTTGTGAAGCTGCTGTGCGCTGTGTCGTGGGGCTGCTGGAATCACTGGGTGGGACTGTGGCGTGCCTGTCCCCTGGCCCAAGACTCTTGGCGCCTTCTGAGCTCTGAGAGGGCGGAGCAGAGCCAGCGGCAGCAGAGCAAGGCCAGCCGGGTGTTTTGTCTCCCTGCCCACACGAGGCCTTCAGAGCCTGGGTCCCCCCCCCCCCCCGGGAGTGCTGCTGACTTATCTTTAATTTGTTTCCCATCCAAGCTCTGTCCTGGAGCTCTGTCCTGTCTGCTGCTCAGCCGCTCCTCTAGGGCGGTGGGCAGGCCCCGGCTGGGCTGTGGCTGCGGGGCGGTGTCGGGTTCAGTTCTCTGGGGAGCTGGGGGAGGATGTGGGCTGGCCCTGGCCTCCCTCGTCCCACCCAGCCCCGAGCCAGGGCAGACCCTGGGCCCCTGAGCCAGCTTTCCATCACAGGAGGCCGCCCCCCGTGGCCAGCCCACCCGCCCCGTGACTCACAGCTCCCGGTCCTGGGCCACCGCTGCCTCTTAGCAGACGGTGGCGGCCGCAGGTTGTGCTGAAGCCACGGGCTGCTTGGGGCGCTCACTCGCTCAGTCGGGTCCGGGGTGGCCAGCGTTGTCTTCATCGCCGTCTGGCTTGGGGACCTTTCCTGTGGCCTCGCCATGGAGAAAGAAGTCACCTGATTGCTGGAGGGCAGGCCAGCCCCCGACCTGCGGGAGCAGTCGCCCCCCACCAGGCATGAAGGGCGACGGGGCTGTGTGGAGCCTCATGTGGAAGTACTGTGTCTCCGTGCGGACGCTCAGGTACCCGTGTGTGGAGGCCGGGCAGGGCTGAGCAGGCCGGCCCTTGACCCTCGGGGGAAGCTGGAGGGGGAAGGAGCGTGGTAGGGGTGTGCTGGGGGTCGCCAGGCCCACCAGGGTGTGGGCGGCTCCCCTCCCCAGACAGCTGGGGCTGGGCCGGCCGCAGCAGGCCCAGCGTGAGATCTCAGCCTGCCCTTGGCCTCTCAGCCTGTGGGGTGCTCACGCCACTCCTGGGGCACAGCGGAGTGAGCCTCCGTGTGCCTGTGGACACGGCCCCCAGTGACCCAGGGTGCGCCAGCCCACCAGGTTCGTTCTCCGTGGTGATTGCTCCCGAGGTGTGTGACGTGCCTGGAACCAGGCGCCAGACGGGCCAGGTTCGTCCCGTGTGGTGATGCTTTGGGCTGAGTGCCTGTGCCAGGGGCCGGCATTCGCGTGGAGATTGACTGTGGTGGCAGATGTGAGGCCCAGCCCACCGACACCCAATAAATGCCAGCGGGGACCCCCCTCATCCTGCTTCTTTCGTGGGGGGGGGCGATGCCTGCCTGGGCTGGACCTGGGGAGGGGGTGTCTGGAGAGGGGGCGTCCTGGGCGGGGCGGGGCTTTGGAGTGTTGTACTTGGAGGGGATTTTTACAACAGTCTGCTTTCCTTCCACTCCCCGCTCCCCAAACTGTATACCATCCCCTCCCTGCCCTCCTCCCTCCCCTTTTTCCTCCCACTTCCCCCGCCTTCCTCCCTCCCTCTCCTCCCCCTCTGGATTTCCTCATTCTTTCCTTTTTTCCATCCTTTCTCCTCATAGTATTTGTGGTGGCCTATAGGAAAAACCTACAGTAAAACAAAACCACCAGGACCATATTCAGAATAGGATGCCATAACAGAGGAGGAGGAGGAGGAGGAGGAGGAAGAGGAGGAGGAGGAGGAGGAAGAGGAGGAGGAGGATGAAGAGGAGGAGGAGGAGGAGGAGGGGAGGAGGAGGATGGGAGGAGGAGGAGGAGGAGGAAGAGGAAGAGGAAGTGATAAAGATAGAACAGAGGTGCACTGAAGCCCCCCGAGCTTCCCCACCGCCCAAAGGAAAGGGAGAGAGAGCCAACCCAGGTCATTCCACTTTAATTAGCGCAGCAGCAACAGCAGCCACTGGTGTCTGTCAGCGACAGTGTGTGGGGTCCCGGGACAGGTTTGGGCAGCCTGCAGCCGTGGGACCCAGGTTCTCTGGGGGTGCCATTGGCTGTGGGAACGGGAACAGAGAGGCTGAGTGGCCCTGGAGGGAGGCAGAGGCTGCGGCTGGGCGGGCCGGGCCCCAGGCAGGGCTGCAGTGAATGCCTGCGGTCGTTTCTCCCGGCCGCTCCCGAGGTTTCCGGGGATGGGCGCTGGGAAAGCGCAGCTGTTTACAGGATGCAGCCGTGTTCCCAGAGGACCTGCTGTGGCCTTCTGCAGTCTTTGGGCCGCCCTAGAGAGGAACAGCACGGATCCTCAGAGTCCGCAGGCCTCTCTGTCAGGCCTCTGTTTCCCTGGGCACAGGGTGGGTGCACAGCTGCCTGGCAGGTCCAGGCCCCTACTGCCAGGGGCAGAGCAGCTGGGTGGGAGCCGGCACCGTCCTGGGCCCCGGGTCTGCCCACCCTTGGCACGCGGAGGGCCAGGTGGCCCCTGCGCGGTGGGCAGGACGGGCCTGCAGTCACTCTCCCCGAGCCCCCCCTTCTCGTGGGGCCCCAGAACAAGTGAGCACCCCCTCCCTGAGCCAGAGAGAGGGGCGGGCGGCTGGCCGAGTCAGCATGGGCCGCTCTGCCCGAGGCCTGAATCAGCAGATCGGCAGGCGGGCGGGGCGGGCGGCCTGGGACGGGTAAGCGAGGGCTTCCGCGGGACAGCACATACTTTTCCTCTTGCGTCTTCCCGCCATCCACAGAGCACACAGCCCCCGGCCCGGCGCAGCGTCTGGTAAAGTACGAGTGTCTGTGCCGTCGCCGCCAGCCCTGGCTCTGGGCCAGGAGGCTCACGAGGGCTGCCCGAGCCGGGTGAGGCTCCGGAGCCCAGCTGGGGTCTCGCAGGGGGGCCGCACTGGCTCCAGGCCGTGTGGACAGAGCAGCCGGGGCTGTGAGCAGCACGCCCTGGGCACGCAGCTAGACCTCAGGGACCGCGGAGCGGCGTGCCCTGCCCTGGGCCGGGGGGGGGGGGGCAGAGGCAGAGCGAGGAAGAGGAAGAACTGGGGCTTGGAGGAGGGCTGACCTGAGGTCCAACCCGCTTCGTGCGAAGGGCTCTAGAGGCTTGGTGAGAAGGTTCTGGAAGCCTGGCTGCCTGCCGGAGGAGGTGTGTGGCCATCCCCAGGTCTGTTTCCTCCCTGTCAGCTTGCACGATGACACGCTCGTCCTCAGAGCTGAGGGGACCCCAGCGAACGCCAGGCCAGGCCGTCCCTTCGCGGTGCGCTCATCTGCCCAGGCTCCCAGCCTCCTTCCCCCGGGGCCTCCGCAGCCTCCCGCCAGCCAGGCCGGAGAGAAGCGCTCCGCAGCCAGGCCCTGGGCCTGGTGGGCTGTGTCGTTGTCTTGGTGGACGGGCAGTCCCAGGCCACTCGGGCTCGGGGTGCTGCCGGCTCAGCTGAAGACCCTCCCTCCCAGCCGGGCGGCAGCCGCAGGGGCCAGCAGCTGGCAGTGAGGCTCAGAGAGCGTCGGGGCAACCGCTGACACTTAGCCACCTGGTGCCCCTGGAGAGGCCCCCAGCCCGCCAGCCCCGCCGGCGCCTGCCCTGGAAGGAAGCCCTGCTCCCAGAGCGAGCGCCCCACTCCCAGCAAGCCCGCAGCCCCGCCCCTCCCTCCGCACCCGAGCCCCGGCCTCAGACTCCAGAGCAGAGCCAGACGAGCCTCCCTCCTTGCACCGCCCCGCGGGCACACGCCTTCCCTGGGGGCCACTCTTCCTTTCCCTGGGGTCTCCCCTGCAGCCCCCACCCCTCCGCAGCCTGCTCCCCACTCAGGCTGTGTTGCCTTTACTTTTGGCTTACTCCACATCGACCAGTTGTGGGAGGAGGGCTCCTTCGCTGAGACACACCGCCAGGCACGCAGTGTCCCCGATCACGCCTGCCACCGCTCGCAGCCCGTCCCACTGTCCTGTTTTCTTCTGTGCATCCGCACCACCTCCACCACGTACGTTGCTTTAAAAAGCTCTGTTTTCAAGGTGGGGTCTGACTGTGTAGCCCCGGCTGGCCCCACTCTCAGTCCTCCTGCTGCAGCTCGGGGGTTACAGGAGTGCACGCTGTTGCCCAGCTCCATTGAGTAGGTATGGGCGTGCCATCCGCTCCGAGCTGGCCCGGCGTGGCGCCGGTGCTCACCTGCAGGCCTGGCTGAGCTTCAGCTGGGCCGCCTGTTCCCAGAGCTCGCGGAGGTGTGCCCAGGGGCAGCGGGGAAGAGCTTCGGCCATCCGTCCAGACGGCTGTCAGGGCAGCTGCCATGTGCTATGGCCGAGCCCAGCGCGTGGGGCGCGGCCGTGGGTGAGGTGAGGTCCTGGCTCGTGCAGTGACGTGCGGGTGACGGTGCCCCCAGGGCCGTGGACAGTGGAGTGACCGCTCAGGGCTTGATCTGGAAGCCAGCAGAGCTCTGAGCCTGAGCGTGGTACGGTGAAGGGCGCCACATCTGGAGATTCTGCCAGCCCGGCCTGCGCCGCGTGAATAACGCGGGAAACGGCGGCGCCTGGACGCTCACGGCCGGCGCGCGGGCTCTCGAGCCACGGCTCTATGTCAGATACTTTTGGTGCTTAATTAGAAATAAGAGTCTTCCAAACTTTCCTGCCCTGGCTGGCTTTGAACTATGATTCTCAAGAAGAGTACAGGGCAGAGCCCAGCTTAAAACCGTCTCTTTAAAGAGCAAAGGAGAGAATGTAAGCAGGTGACCGACGTGTGAGGGGAAGGCGTGAGCTGGTGGAGTCCTGCGGGCAGAATGCTGCCAGCAGAGGGCACAGCACAGGCAAAGGCCCTGGGGTAGCGCTGTGCCTTGTGTGTCTGCAGATGGAAGTCAAAGCGGTTGGACAGCGGCGGGGAAGGAAGCCACAGGATGCAGATTCTTGGGTGCTGACTCACTGGGGTGGGGACACAGGGCAGGGTCGGTCCCAGGATGAGGACATGAGGTACTTCCCGGGGGACAGTGGTAGCGGGCTGGCTGAGAGACCCCGAGAGGTACTCAAAGGCACAGTCAGACCAGCTGGTAGAGCAGAGACGGCAGGGAGGGAGGGAGGGGAAGCTTGCACGGCGACTCCCAGGAGCTGGGCAGGGGCAGTGGGGACAGGTGGCCTGGGAGGACCTGCCGGGCCCTAGGAGGTAAAGCTGGCCGCCCTGGGTCCCTCTGCACCTGAGCAGCGCTCACATAAGTAGGCCACCGCCACCTGCCCCGCACCGCCTTTGCCCCGCTGTCTGTCTGGAGTGAGACCGAGTGCGCAGCCCAGGCCTGGCGCTCTGAACAAAGATGCCTTGCCGAAACTCGAGTGGCCCCGAAATGTGATCAGCCGCGAGAGACCGGCCAGGGCAGAGCTGTATAATTTATTGGCGGGGCTGTCCGGCAGCCATTTGGGCAGGCCCGACCTCGACCTCGAAGAGCCCCCTGGGCGGTGGTAGAGCCTGGGGAGGGTGACAGGCCCGGCCGGCCACAGGGCGGGGCTTCCTGGATGCGCTGGCAGGGAGGAAGTCGGAGGCCAGGGCCGGGAGGTGGGGCTGTCGCCCTGGTTCTTTGTCCCCAGGGGCTGCCCGGGCCAGGTGCTGGACTCCCGGGAGACCTCAGCCCCCTGCCGCTGGACACTGTGAGTAGCACCTAGCCGGCAGGAAGCTGGGAGGGGCTGGGGCGGGATGTGAGGGGCATGGCAGCACGTGGGGTGCTCGCAGGGGTGCTGGTTGCTTCTCTAACCTGTCTCTGTGACCGGCTGCTGTGTGCTTGGTGTGCGTCACGCAGGGCCGGCCCGGGGCCTCCCGGGGCTCTCTGCAAGGACAGCTGTGGGCCCGGCCCTCGGCCTGCCAGCCTGCCTGGCCCGCTAGAGAG